TATTTCTATATTCAAGTGCTAAGCCAAATCTTGGTTTTGCATCATTTGTTTTCAAGATGAAGATTTTTGAAAAGAAATTTGTAAATTTAACTTCATCGTATTTTCTATTACTTTAACTTTTGCTTTACAAATATATCAATCAAGTATATGAATAATTCCATGGTCACTATTGATAAATGCATACTTAATATGATTTGATGTTGTATGATGAAAAACACCTGAATCATCCTAAAAATGATAAGTAATTCGTATCATTTGACCATTGTATATTTAACTTTGCCTCTTCTTACACTTGCTAATGAACATTTTTGTTAAGCATCATATATATTAATATGATCATTTTCACTAATTGATCAAGACCTCTATCAGCATAAAAGATTTCATTACAATTTGCTAATTAATTCTTTTTTTGTTGTACTAAAATCCATAAAAAACATTTAAAGCAACCCTTATGGCATTTAAATCAGATGAACGACGACCTTCACATACTAGAAAACAATATACATTTAAAATATCAAACAATTTAGAAAAAATATCTTTTTCTTTTTGAAATGTTCGACCTTTTAAAATACTAACATTCAATTCGAATAAATCATATCATTCAGAGTTTTATATTGAATTTCTTGATTCACTAGCATCTTTCGAACGTGGACTATTAACAGTATTTTCAAATAAAATAAAACAATTAATTTATTTTAAAAAATTCTGAAAAAATTTACCTTTGTAAATGTATAAGAGGAACACCTTTTGATGTTCTAATTCTCAATCGTCGTGAATATTTGATTATCATGATCTAGCAAACAAATATTTTATTTTACTTCTTTTTTTTGAAAACGAGAAGAATCTTACCAGCAGCAAATAAATTTAATGTTGAATGACTTGTTAAAACCCAATATCGATCATTTTTCAATGATTTCATTTAAATTGAATTAAAATAAAATAAACTGTTTGTTGATATCCCAAAGTTGATATATCGAACAGAACAAAAAAGAAGTGAATGATATGAACATACTTGAATATTGTGTGCTCGTCTGTTTCGTGTTCACAACTGAATATGGAAGTGAGAGAAGAATGAAAAAATAATATAGGTCACGACAATACCTTTTTTTCTTTTCTTCTCTCGTCCGTAAGTCGTCATTGTTCAGGTTATCATTGATGATCAATGATAATATGACATAATCCATGTGTATATGTTGATGATAGCTTAATTATTATCGCCTTTTGATCACTCTCTGACGAAAAAAAAGTAAAATATCGACTTTTAACATATAAATATGAATGATTTTCCATGTAAAAATCATTCAATTTATTGAATCAAATATTAATCTTTTCTTTTTATATTTTAGAATGATTTCGACGATACAAAATTATAGAATTCAAATCAATACAACACAATAAAAAAATGTAGGTATCAGTTTTTATTTTTTTTTCTTTATTGGATCATACAGAGGGTGGTAAGTCCTCTTGTGATCTTTTATATTCATGTTTTTCTTTTCCTGTTAAAGACGTCGTCGTTCAACATCCACGGGTGAGTTAATTTTTTTTCTTTTTCTTTTCTTCGTTGAGATGAGAATAGTTAGGGTTTCGCTTTATAAGAAGGACTTCCAGGTAGTCCCTAAAAGCCTGGCCAGGAACTGTCTTCGTGTCCGTGGCACACGATCGGGCCCCCAGACTCACTGACATATGACATCGGATGGATGCATGTGGATGATGTGGGTCTTCCCGCGCGTGCATGAGCTTTATGCTCGCCACGGGTCCATCAGGATGGTTCCTGGTCGTGCGCGAAGAGGATAGAATAGCAATGAATTCATTTTTTCATTCAATGACGATTTATTTGAAAGAGAAAGAGAACAAAAAAGAAAAGAAAATTCATCATCGTATTGAAGTTCATACGATATTAAATTTTTGTACTCGATGATTTCCCCAATCGACGACATAGAGATTGCCATGTCGATCGAATGATAAACCAGCGGGACCATTGAGTTGATTTGACCGTGCTCCTTTATCGTTTCCGCCAACAATGACACTTCCTTGTGTGGCTCCTTTTGGCCAACGCATGATCCGATGATTGTGAGAATCAGCCACATAGACAGTACCCAATTGATCAACAACGACTCCTTGAGGATGATTCAATTGTGTAAGACTGTTTCCTTCTCCTTTACCACCGGCTACGACAATGCCTTGTTTTGCACCTTCTTTCCATTTCATTACACGATCATTTTCCCAATCAGACACATAAACTGAATATTCTTGATCGACAAATACGTAGGTGGGCTCAGAGAGTTGATCAAGACGACTTCCTTGTTCATTACCACCTGCAACCAGTGTTCCTTTAGTATCGCCAATTTTATATCGTCTCACTTCATGTTTTTCATCGTCAACAACATAGAGAGAACCATTGTCATCCATTGTCAAACCCGCGCAAGAGATATTGGAAATAATTGTTTCTCCCTGAGTACCATTTCGACGAGGCCATCGAACTACTCTGTTATTCTCCCAATCGCTGATGATGAAATTATCGCTCTCTTCGTCAACAATCACATCTAGTGGGCAATATAATTGATGTGCTTCATGTCCTTGTCCATTTCCACCAGCAACTACGTTTCCATTCGTTACACCAGATTTCCATTTCACAATACGATGATTCAACCAATCAGCGACATAAATCGTCTGAGCGTCGTCGACGTGCAAACCCCATGGCCAATAGAGTTGATTGGTTTCACTGCCCGATCCATTTCCTCCAGAAACAGTGATACCATTCTGTGACCATGTTGCATTCGGATGAATATCAATGGAACTTGCACGCATTGGTACTGAAATGAAACAAAAGTATGAAGTAGAAATAAACATCGATTTCATTGAAACTAGTCATTCTCATTTGTTTTAAACAGTATTGAACTGTTCTCAATTACAAAAGCTTTTTACTTATGAACTTGATTAGAATCGGGTTTTTCTCAATGTTGAAAACAAAACATTCTTGATTTTTTCAAATACTTTGTGTAAGAATCCTTAGTTTTACTAAAACTAACTAAAATTTAACTGGTAATGTGAAAAATTGCGATGAACTCGGATTTTGTCGTGAATGAAATTTTCTTTTATATCGAATTTTTCCAACATATTCACTGATTTCGTTACTTCGAGTTTGAAATATATTTAGATTTTGCATGTCATCAATTTAAAAATCATTTCATTTTTTTTGTTTGGATTTTACAATAAATGAGTTATAATAGAATTTGAATGTGAGGAAAAAAATGTAGTTATCAGTTTATAGGAAACGGTGTATGATTTATGTTCGTCACACATTTCTGAGTGAAATGAGACAAAATAAATTTGCCACTTTTATATGAATTCGTTAAAAATATCTTGCTAGATAATAACGATAATTAATTATACTTAACTACCATGCATAAAACGTTTTTGAATGATTCATACAAAAATTAGAAAGTTTTTGTTCAAGTATTTTTCTTTTTTTATTCATCTCATTCAATTTACGAATGTGTGACAAATATAAATCATACACCATTCAAAAGTATTTTATGCGATTAATTTTGCATCATACTTATTATTGAGTAATTTATTCCTGAATCTCAAACAAACAAGTAGTTTGTAGAAAGACTAATCGAAGTGCTAAATAAGATAAGTTTAGATAAAAAATACATAAGTTCGAATTTTAGTAGATAAGAAGAACTCAAAAACAAATCTTTCCCAAGTTCAAGAATATTTGAAGAATCTGTCATATTCATTACAGAGATGTCCATCGCGGCTGAAAATCTGCCGCTGCCGCGCCGCGACCTTAGAAAAAAAAGCTGCCGCACCGCAGCCGCGCCGCGACGGTTTATAAAAAAATGTTGCCGCGGCGCTGCCGCGCCGCAATGGCTTATAAAAAAAACGTTGCCACGCCGCTGCCGCGATGAATTATAAAATAAACGTGCCGCCGCCGCGCCGCTGCCGCGGCGGTTTACAAAAAACTGTTTCTAATTTCACTGCTGCGACTATATTTGACCAGAGATATTGGTACTAGTCCATCAGATTCATTCAGTCTCGGGGTGTTTCATTTGTAAACCCTGAAATTCTATTAAATTCATGCAGTTTTTCAATGTTCCAAAAAAAAATCCTGCCGCTGCCGCGATGGTCTTTTAAAAAACCTGCCGCTACCGCGCCGCTGCCGCGATGATTTTTAAAAAATCTACCGCTACCGCGCCGCTGCCGCGGTGATTTTTTAAAAAACCTGCCGCTGCCGCTGCCGCCACAGGCCATCGCGGCAGCGCCGCGATGGACATCTCTGATTCATTACTCAACATTATAGCACAAACAATAATCTATATACGAATCATCAAATCTTTTATTTTGAATTCATTTCTAATGTATTACAAATTTGCAACTTAATAGGGTGTCGGTGCATGGAACATGGTTTTTTAAACAATAGTAGTTTCGATCACGGATCGATTTCGACCTTTCTACAATTAAGTATTTTCGCTTCTTTACAAGACAATACGAATCTCCCATCGAAACCTTTATCTAAAATCTTTGCAAGTTTTTGTTTTGTAGGTTATTCAATAGGTGTAAATTTTTGAGAATTCTCACAAAAAAACGATCGTATAAGTTTTCATCATGATTTTAGATATTCTCAATAGCAATAAGTGTGAAGATTTCTTCCCTTCAAATTTTTATTGTATCGTATTCTGAACTGGTTAAATCTTAGAAGAAAGTTTTTTTTGTTTGTCAAGAATTTTCTAAAGATTTATATTGATACTGATTTGAGCTTTAGACTAGAAACAATACTTCCATGATTATATCTTGAATGGACAGTTACAGAACCGATGAAGTTAATAAAAAATGTCATACAGTTTTATAAAACTCTCTAAAAATAATTTAAATAATTTCATTCTTTTTAATTTATCTATGAAGAATCTAGCTATAATTGAGATCTTGATTAAATTTAATAGTATTTAATCAATTTTCATTTTTATTACATGTAATGTCATGTATTTTTAATATGTTTAATGTTTCAGTGCAATTGGAAGAAAGTACATTTTAGTATTATTCCTTTTCTTGGATCGACAAAAAGCCAATACTTGTAAAACTGTATGAAAACTAGAATTATGTGTCAAACAACTCGAAGATGAGAGTCAGAATCAAAACAACATTTTCTGCTTTTTAAATCAAAGAGATTGTGAGACATAAAATTCGGGTAGATAATTTTATTTTCTACTTATAGATGATGACATAGAGCTATATGAAATGCTTATTAATACTATAGGTTCAGTTCAATTAAATCAAACTTCTCAAATATCTCCAAGGGGGAAAGTGCAGATTTGGAACCCCCAGCACCTCAGCACTTTTTCAGCACCTCAGCACCTTCTCAGCACCTTCTCAGCACCTCAGCACCTTCTCAGCACCTCAGCACCTTTTCAGCACCTTCTCAGCACCTTTTTAGCATCTTTTTGATATTGTAACTTAGTTCAATTATTTGCAAATAATTCACAAAAGACTAGTTTTATTTTCAATAACATAGGAGATGTTTTGCTTTAAATACGCACATACACATACAATGTGATAATCTAAGTTTTAATCAAAAATAAGTGTCAAAAATATGTATCAAAAATATTCCATAATACTGATTAGAGCAAAAAAAACTAAGTTCGAGAAAAAAAAACAAAAAAGATGTTATTTATCTCTTGGTTCTTTCACACGTTCTAATGAAGGGGGAAAGTGCAGATTTGGAACTCGCAGCACCTCTGCACCTTCTCAGCATCTCAGCACCTTCTCATTACCTTTTCAGCACCTCAGCACCTTCTCATCACCTTTTCAGCACCTTTGGGTACTAAAGGTGCTGAGGTGCTTATACATTTTGTTCAAAGATTAAAGGTCAGTACCTTGCCCTTTTACCTTTGACCCCATATGGTATGATAGACTAATGCAAACTTTGATTAGAAGAAATTTACTCTTAAGGGAGTTGTTGGCCCAAACGATTATTATATCAGTTCATAACTTAACAAGCTCTACAAATTGGTCTCATTAAAATTTAAAAAGTGATCATCGATTCTGAACGTTCCATCGTTAGGGATGCAACGGTGACGATCATTCATCGGTACACCATAGATACGATTACCGCTCTAAGTACGGTAACCGTAGGTACGGCTACCGGCCTAACTACGATAACCGTAGCTACGGTTACCGGTCCCACTACGGTAACTGTAGGTACGATTGCCGGTCCATCTACGATAACCGTAGGTACGATTACTAGTCCAACTAAGATAATCATAAATACCGTTACCAGTCCAAGCCCGTTTTCACGAAGGAAAGAGTTTTTTAAGAAAATAACGATTCTCTATAAAGGTTGACGAAAGTAAATCGGGGTCGAAGAATCCGAATCTGTAGTTAGTCTTTCAATCTGAGTTTTCATTGGTTAGAAAATGGACCAATCAGAAACGAGCTTTTTTATTTTGAGGCTTTTTGAGCTTTTGATAAAACTTTGCAATAGGTTATCGATATCGACCAATTCGAATGTGAAGTCAGTTATCATATGTGAGCTTTCATTGGTCAGTAAATGGACCAATCGGAAATGAGCTTTTTTAAAGTAAGGCTTTTCCATCTTTCGATAAAACTTTGCAATAGGTTATCGATACCGAGGAATTCGAATCTGAAGTCAGTTATTCTGTCTGAGCTTTAATTGGTCAGAAAATGGACCAATCAGAAATGAGCATTTTTATATTAAGGCTTTTCGATCTTTTGATAAAACTTTGCAATAGGTTATCGATATTCAGAAATCCGAATCTGAAGTGAGTTATCATATCTGAGCTTCCATTGGTCAGAAAATGGATCAATCAGAAACGAGCTTTTTTTATACTAAGACTTTTCGATCTTCTGATAAAACTTTGCAATAGGTTATCGATATCGAGGAATCCGAATCTGAGGTGAGCTATTCTATCTGTGCTTTAATTGGTCAGAAAATGGACCAATCAGAAACGAGCTTTTTCTCTCGACTGAAGGGACGGTAATACGAAACAAATAAAGCTTGACAGACTGATACCGAACACCAAAAATATTTAATTGGCTGAACTGCCTGCCTGAAGGAGCTTCATATATATTTGATGTTATTGAGATTATCGAACCTGTAATCACGCTAATACATCTGAATGCGCTACCATCCCAATGACTGCAAGGTCACAAACTCATTTTATCTCATATCATCCTCCCTCCAGTGGAGGGAAAAAAAGCTCGTTTCTGATTGGTCCATTTTCTGACCAATTAAAGCACAGATAGAATAACTCACCTCAGATTCGGATTCCTCGATATCGATAACCTATTGCAAAGTTTTATCAATAGATCGAAAAGTCTTGATATAAAAAAGCTCACTTCTGATTGGCCCGTTTCCTAACCACTGAAAGCTGAAATTGAAAAACTAACTTCACATTCGAATTGGTCGATATCGATAACCTATTGCAAAATTTTATCAAAAGATTCAAAAGCCTTAATATAAAAATGTTCATTTCTGATTGGCCCATTTACTGACCAATGAAAGCTCAAATATGATAACTAACTTCAGATTTGAATTCCGCGATATCGATAACCTATTGCAAAGTTTTATCAAAAGATCGAAAAGTCTTAGTATAAAAAAGCTCGTTTCTGATTGATCCATTTTCTGACCAATGGAAGCTCAGATATGATAACTCACTTCAGATTCAGATTTCTGAATATCAATAACCTATTGCAAAGTTTTATCAAAAGATCGAAAAGCCTTAATACAAAAATGCTCATTTCCGATTGGTCTATTTTCTGGCCAATGAGAGCTCATATTGAAAAAA